GCCCGTTTACGTCTATCGATTTTGCGTTACTCAGTCTTATTATATAACAGTTTTTTAAATTACCTTTTTAACTTACCTTTAAAAATACTCCATGTCTAAAATTCAACGCGTTTAGGATTTTTAACTTTGGTCAACGTTTGCATCTGTGTTTTCACCAGACTGTTGGCTGGGATAGGTGCTGTCGCTTAAGCAGTATGTTCCTTCTCTGATTCCATCTTTTTTTTATAATAGGCTGATTTTTGTTGATGTCCAAATATTTGGTGGTATTTAACGTGGCTATGAGTAGTGATGAGTACACCCCGTCTACAGCTAGCTGAGTAAGTGACCCAATGTTTGACTAATGATGGGATCGGTGTTTATATTTTTGGTCAGATCGTCTCCCGATTTCAAATTAACTTTGAAACCAAGAAATTCGACTGGGGTAACTATTCCTAAAAGTCTGGCGTATAAACTCAAAATTGAGTTGCCCAAATTTGAAACAATTCCTTTGTCGAATTTAACTTCGTATAGATTAAACAACTTTTCATGTTCTGCCGGAGTAAGCGCCTCATTGTCTTTAATGGAATATTCTTAGCCCATATATTTTTTTGTGATTCGCCTGATGCTATGACTGAATATAAAAGATCTTTGACGTCGGGCTCAAACTCGGGCTTTTTGCAACGACTTTTGAATCGGTGAGTATACTTTTGATGTCTTCCATATTGTAGCGGTCTCCAGCAACGGAGCCTCGGGCGTGCCTTTGGTCGACCCGACGAGCGGCTGTAGAGGCGACCAGGGGGGCAGGTCCGTTTGGAGGCAGTCTACCGCCAGGCGCCGAAGCCTATCAAGTTGCACCCACGGGTCTGGTCTTGGGGGAATAACTGAATGAAGTCGCACTAACCTAGTGCCCAGTAATCACTCTCCAGCACAGCGTTCTGCTCTGACAGCCAAACCAAGCAGCAGTACGAACTCGTCACGCACAAATATGACCGAACAACAGAAAGACAGGAAAGACCGCGAGTAGCTCGCGCGCACTCCTTATATACCCATGCGCGGGTTATGATTATGGGATGTAAATGCTTAACTGCAAATAATTAAAGAGGGCGCTCTAACCACCCCACTATTTCGCTACAATATTAATATGTGGATTTTAAATTTGTTAAACGCTATTTTGGCAGTTATGTATTCGTAGGTGTAATAGGTGAAGTTAATTGCGATAACTAGTTAGACAAGTACTTGAATTAATTGTAATTGTTGATATTTATTTATAATAAATTTAAAGAATGCTACAATTGAGCTCCATTAACCCAACTGTAGCATTACAAAGCAAATGATAAGTGTTTATTCTGACACGCCAGATGATTAAGGTTCGTTGTTAACTAGCTTTTCAGATTCTTGACGTTACAACATAAAACGCAATTTGGTTTGATGTGGCCAATGAGTTGTCTTATCGCTCGATTGTACACTGGTTAGGTTTTCTTTCCAAAAATTGCATTTTAATTTTACAGTCTTTATAAAAACAGTACTCATTATCTTCATTTAATCCACAGCAGAAATCGATATCAATGAATGGTTAGGGTCGAATCTTTGTACTTCCTGTCGTTCTTGCGACAATCATAAATCCACTGACGGATTGTATCGTCAACAGGATCCCTGCACAATTTGCATTTGTTTCTGTTTCGTGTAATTCAAGTTTCTCCTTTTCAAAATCACATAAACATTGTCATCGATGCATATCCGTAGCCGCTCCAAATAAGTCTTATTTTTAAACAAGGTTGGACAAATTATCATGACTGCTTCGTATGCAAACTTGTACTCACGTCCTAATAGATCCAGCAGCCACTGAGTCTTCCCTGACCCATATTTACCGCAATTAAAGCACAATGTGGCTCCTTGTACATGCTCCGACTCATGCTTTTAATCGTGCGAACTTTTCTAGACAGCGATTGTACAAATGGACGGCTGTGTCTTGACCTCTGTACGTTTCGTGACTAGTACACAGGCCGTCACATCGTACGACTGCGTGTGAATAACCGCAGGGCTTGTGAATTTGTGTTTTAACCGTGTTTAATGATTCTGCTGGGAAACGCTCTAAAACAGATTCAAAATCTGTGTAAATGACAAACGGAGCGTACTATTTATTTTTGTAATTTTCAAACTTGAGAATATTATTGCCTTTGTCGGAAAGCACCACTTTGCAAGGCGCCGTGTCCATTTCTGGCAATCTTTTAGATGTTTTCCAAGCCTTTCTTTCGTTGGACAGTGAGACAAGCAATTGAAACACCAGTGTGATTTGCCGTCGTGTTGTTAATGTCACCCATCAATCGAGAAAAGTTCTCAATCTAACAGTAATGAGCTTTTTCACCTCGAGTAAAATAGAGTAAGATAATCGGATCGCCGGACTCCTTAGGTAAAATATAGTAAATTAATGGGCGTTTGGTTTTCTAAAGTGTGTACATGTAGATGCCGTCCTTGCCCATGTAACCAAATACGTTGAATTTATGAAATGGGTGTTAGAAAGGCCACGTTTGAAAAGTTTATGTACGCTCCTCGTGTATTTTGTAATCTGGATTAGTTTCCAACTGATTTTTGATGTTGTCTGAATATAATTTTAAAGCAGCTCTCAACGCCCAATGAATGCACTGTTGGTCTTGTTCGTTTTGGAAGTTGATGATTACTTTCTAGGTTTTTAGTTTTTTGGGCAATGAGATGTACGTTGCCCTAACCGGGTTAAACTTAACCACGTTAATGTAAAACGCGACAACTTTATAAAACACCCAGAAGGAGCCCCTCTGTTCGTGTGCTTCGACGTCTTCTAAATGCTTGACAATTTGTTGGTTAAACACGTCTTTGACTTGTTGTTTAGAAATGACCGCATTGTTTTTGCTTGTAAATGTGAAAACACCGAGTTTAGTTTCGGCACTGGGCTTCTCAATTTTAAACTAAATGTTAAACTTTAATCTTAAAGCCATCTGCAACTTGTAAGAACCAACATCATTAAATTCGGCCAACGCTTTGTCTTTGATGTACCTTTTGTGAAATTCAAAGACAGCAGCAAATCGTTGGCAAGGAAAGTAGGTATCAGTTCCCAATGTCTATAGCCGCCTTTAAAATGCTGGATTCTTCGAATATTTACCTCTTCAATCGTTCCAGTTTAATGTAAGCTTTAATCGCGGTGATTAGGTCTTTTCGTAGTGCATTGCCCTTGGTGCCCGTGGCTTTAAATGAAATGTTGTTGTCTTGTGCTGTCTGTAAGAGTTCACGATATGATTGTCGTGGAAGACTTTTAAACTGTTGTTGACTCGCTCGAATTGCCTTACTAATTCGGGCTTGGTGTGTTGTCAGCGTTTTGCCGGTGGTAATTGAATGTCATGTAGTTTGACAAAGTCGGATAAAAATACTGTTAAATATATTAAATCCCAATGAGACGGGGTTCGTTTCAGTGTTCATTGTCTCTTTTTATATATAAAGGTCTTTAAAATAATATTTCATTTTTTCTCAAAGCTTCAAGGGAGAGTGAATTTTTCTGAGAATTAGGAAAGTCCCGGAGAAGTCACAAGTAACAGGGGGAGTCCCGGTGAGTCACGAGTAAACCGTCCATGAGGTATAGGGGGGTTTAGTCGATGAGGTCATCGAGGGTTTGGTGAAAAAGGTGAAAGGGGGGCTGGTCCAGAATTGTCCTACGCCTACTACTCCATGCATAGTAAATAGAGGGTATGTATGGAGTGTAATAATAGAACAGTCACATTGGAGAAAAGTTCCCCATAAGAACCTAGCGCCCAAGAAACTACAAAAAGGTGTCCTTGAATCCTACAATTAATGGCCCTATAATTAGCTGGATCAATGACAATTGTAGGAGACTTTTCTCTAAGTTACTCCTTTGGGTTATATAGATAAATGTAGTCTTCACCACATTAACTATAGAATTATGTCTCGGACCGTTATCTTACATATCAGTTCGAAGTTCTGAATCATGCAGAAGATAGCCCCTACACATTTTAAAAATCATCACGCAGTTTACAAACTGACTGTTTTGCAGGTAAACTTTAATCCTTCATGCTTGCAGGTTAAAATCTTGTTGAAAAAAAACGGAACAGTAAGAGAAGAAAGAAAACCAAGAACCGGGCAATCTTATAATAGGCCCTGCATAGTCGGCCTTTTTATGTAAACAAAGATGTATTTACCGAAAGAAGAACACTAAACAATGCGTAAGCGTGGATATGGTACGAAAATGTATTTTTCTTTGTGCTTTAAAACACTATCCGGGTTTCATATATAGCCCATACGCTCACTGCAAGAGTCATTCTTCGTTTTTAAAATGCTTCGTTAAACATAACACTTCCTATAAAATATCGAGCAATTGTCGATGTTCAAACAAACGAACACAGTTGTCTTAACAAGAAGGTTGTCTTAGTTTGAGAAGTAAGCTGTTGTGTCTTGTAATATACTTCATTTCTACTGTGAGGGACCTGATCTGTTGAACTGTTCAGTTCTGCGCAAGGAGAAAAGTTGGATCGATTTGGTTGGATCGAGACTTCGAAAATGTTTTTTTGCAAAGTGTTTTTTGCAATACAATTAAGAGGTCAAAATTTATTTTGAGACAGCTGAGGCTTCCAGGGTATAATCCATTCCCCAAGCAATGGGAGGTAAAAGGTTTTAAACTAGGACCTGCCCATTCAATGTTCGCAAACTGTCATAAAGGGAAGGAAATGCCATTTACTTGATATTTATTTCGGCAAGAAGTTTAGCTCGGTCGGTGTTGGTGTCTCCTTTAGCAGGATTCATAAATCTCCTCGATGCTGCATCCTTCAGTGCAGCATTCATGGTGCAAACCTCGCTTTCCAATACCACGTCCGAACAAGAATGTGCTGGCGTCCTTTGAATCCAGAAACTCTGCATCACAGGAGACGAGAAAACAGAAGTGCCATGATGATTTTGTTTTCACCCAAAATAACTCTGTCTTTTGTATGTTACCATCAGCCCTACCTTAAAAAATCGACTCTTCCACGAATAAACAGAGCGGGAAGAAACAGGAGACTTATTTACATAAAGACAACGTCCTTCTGCAGCCTGCTTCTGCATGACGTGTACAGTTTGTTGATGGAGACATGCATATATCAAGGGGATCAAGGTGAAACCCCCAAAAAATTATGGGGAAGAAAAGAAGCGAAACATAAAAGGGAAACCAAAAAGAGAGGGAATTGAAAGAAAACTTTTCTTGATTTCAGTTTTCAGTTTCTGCAATTTCTGGAGAGAATGCGTTTTTATGACAGCATCGGTTAAAAGTGCTTTGCTTTCACGTTCTTAGAAAATGAAATCTCTTCTTTTGGAATACCCTTCCTGAGAAAGTGGAGGGGCAGCTTCAATACTCATATTCTATTAGCTGGGGTGTTTTTGCTCGAGAAAAGGTGAGACACAGTGGTATAGCCGGGCAAGAGGGAAAGCACACGTTCCCACAGGGCCTAGTTGAACCTTGTCTCGCTTGGCTACGCCACTGGTGAGAGACAGTATTTCAAGTTGATTTTGACTTCACTACCTTGGTTGGAGACTCCACGGACGGCATGGCAAGTCTCACGTACTTTCTCGTAGAGAGTCGCGCCACAATAATTGGCACGGTAAGCCCTGCATAAAATACGTCCAAGATAGCCATTATAACACCTTCTATAACGTAAACGTTTTGTGCTTACCAGTGTCATACACTGCTCAACAAACTGCACTCCACGGTTAACAAAATAACAGCTAGCACCAGTGTGAACAAAGATTATGTCAAAGTCTTATACGCTATATTGCACTAGGTTCAAGAGGCGCTGTGGCAATTTTTAAATGTATTTACGTTAAAAAAGCTAAATCAATTCCTCAATGGTGAGTGGGTTGTGTAGCCAAGGGAAAGTAGGGTCAAAGAGCAATTACATTTTAAACTGCTGAAACGATTATTAGTAATTTATAGTGTCCTATGCTTTGTTATAATCGGACTTTAAATGCAATAAGACACGGACAAGATTGCTGCTTTCTGATGCACATGTTAAGTTAGACCAAATCAATTCTACACGTGTAGTTGGTACTGCTTAATTAATGGCACAGTATATCACTATGTGCGTGAACTACATGTATGGTTTGCTGAGGTCGAAGCATTAAACAATAGTGCCTGATTGTTAAAGAATTTCAGTAAACTAATAAAGATATTAAATAATTTAAACCCATAAAAACTTAATCTGTTTGCCCGAATGTCAAACGTAGATACAAACATTAATTGCTTCACCAATCTTTTTTGGTGTCACAATGTTGAAAGGTATCTTTTATTCAAAGAATCAAAATTTTCCTTGGGAATTTTAGTGGTATGAGAACCATTTTGTTGAAAACACATTCAAAGTATAAAACTGCCAAAAAAGAGCAGTGACGGTAAACTTCTTGAAACGACCACAAAATTTTATATCAACGTATATCGTACGCTCTTCAGTGAACCTCTGGGTTGACAAATAAATTACTCCAAAAAAGTAATTTTCTTATCAAATTAAAATTTCCAAATTCGAGTGCATATTCATTTTGAGGTGTCGCTTTTGATGTTATTGACAAAACAACATATCCGAGTTAACACATTTAAACTTTTGTCTATTTTTCTTGCAGATCACCACTGGCAATATAAAGCCATCGTAGTTAAGTAGATGGTCCAGTTCTTGTTGGCATGTAGAGTGATAAAGGCAGAAACAGTCATTTGACAGTGGCCCGTGAACATGGATAGGTAAAGGCCCTACAAAATTGCGAGTCCATGAAGTGTATATATACGAATAATAAGATATTTACTTCATTCGTGAATCCGATAACAATCAAGCTTGTATAATGGCCCCTGCTATATGTTCGGAAAAGTCATCAGATTTCAAAGCCCCTGTGGTCTTAAACATAGTTGCAGAAGTCCGGCCAAGCAAATGTTTGTTCCCTTATTAAAGTTAGAGAGAGGTATGAATGTCTTTCAAAATATTTATTCTAAGAGATAACTTTACTTACAAATTCCCTCCATGTTTAGCGTCTGCGTCCGGGTGGCCATTGATTTGTTGTACTATAAAGAAAAAAACAGAAAAAAAATATGAAAGTAAAACGACGTTAAAGTCACCAAAAAATTGTTCTACCGAGCCAACGTTGAATTTGAAAGAGCATGACGGCACCAACCTCATAACATACAATTTCAGAAAAAAATCTAAGAGCATTTCATCACATTTTTCCCAGATATGGATTTTTTTGTTCTGGTAAAATGTTTCGCTTTTCCCTGACGCAATATTTTAGATGAGTTAAAACCCAAATGGGTGCGCTAATGGTAGTGGCGTAGCTATGATTTTACTAGTGGGGGGCACAAGTATCTTTTGGGGCACCAGCTTCCAGTGATATCGTTTTGGGGACAAGCTTTTGTTACTAAACCCTATTCAGTATCCATTTAACCTGCCCCTGGGCAGCACGTGGAATTTGTGTGTGTGTACATTTGTGTGGGTGGGGGGGGGACGTTCCCCCATGTCCATCTCTGTGGCTACGCCCCTGGTTTATATATGGATAAGATGAGTGAGTTACTGCTTCCGGATCCCCGCAACACCAATACTTGACGAATTCATCAACCAAAAACCGTGAAACAGAAAAACATTCAGAAATATTCAGCTCATTTCCCTAAGAATTAGATTTCTCTTGATGCATCAGTAATTTCCATTTTTGTATTCATTTCAGGTCTCATTACGTGTATTTGCCATGTTCGAGTGAAGCTTGATTTTCTTGTTGGACGGTCAGTAGCTTCTACAGCGAGAGTGATGGCCAAGAGTGTAGGCCTAATCAGTGGGAGAACTCTGGAAGAGCATTAGGAAGCGCTGTAACGGGAATTTACTGTCGCCTACGATCGTGGTATGATATTTAACATGCCCCTACATGCCATGGATGTCACGGCATGAACTGTAGCGCCGAAGGAAAAACCGGGCCTTTGAAATATGAAGAAAAAATTAAAAAATACATTTTTAGTGGCCCGTAAATATTAATTGAAATGTTAACACTAAAAGTTATTTCAAAATCCGGAGTAATGTGTATTCGTTCGGTTGAGCGCCGAAGTGAATTAGAATGAAGTGAATTTATCCTTGTGTATCCTT